AGTTTACCTTTCGAGATACATTTGGTACTTTCACGAATACAATTGCAAAATTATTAACACAGAAATGAAATAAGGTTTAAATCACTGGAGAGATTTTTAGTGCTCATGGTTGAGCCATGCAAATATGACAGAAATGTCTGTGCCACTTACATTAATTAACAGGCTTAATGCCATCAAAATCAAACTACCAAATTCATTTGTACAACTAGACAAAATAAAATTTATCTGGAAGAACACCAGGTTGAAAATTTCAAAGGAAATAATGAAAAAAACATTAAAGGAGCTTAATGGTCTCAAACCATATTACAAAGCAATAATCACCAAAACTATTTGATACTGGCTTTAAAAAGTGTTTTAATAAAGTTGCTTAGTGGGATAGATTGATACAATGGCTACAACATTGTTAAGGAAAACAACTATGAAAGACTTAAGAACTATGACCAATGAAATGAGTGAACACAATTCCAGGAGACTGATGACGAATCATGCTTTTCACCCCATGGCAGACAGATGAGGGATTAGAAGGATAAAATGAAACATATATTTTTAGGCTTGGCCAATGTGTGAATTTGCTTGATGTGGCTATACTTATTTGTTACAAGGAAGGGCTTCATTTATTTATTTTTGAAGATTTAATGGTATTAAGAAAGTGAAAAAAAGAAAAAGGTCAGGGGCAGCTAAGTGGCACAGTGGGTAGAGCACCAGCCTTGGAGTTAGGTGGACCTGAGTTCTTATCTGGCCTCAGATACATACTAGCTGTGCCATTTAACCTTGATTGCCTCAAAGAAAGAAAAAAAAAAGGTCAATGAATCATTAAATAATGCAAAGAAAGCAGAAAAAAACTCACAAGGGAACACAGACAAGCAGAGTTGATGCATATTTAAAAAACAAGTTATACATAGTAGAGATTCACAGCTTTATATGTAGTATTCCTTTTCTGTTCTTTGTATAGGGAAATATTCCTGTTTATTGATATTTGCCAAGTTCATATAAAAAAGAAACACCAAATATAATTGTTTCAGAGGAACTGGAGAACATGTACGATGATGAAGAAGGAAACAAGAAGAACCTAGAGAACAATTTACACAATGACCACGACAATGTTGAGGAAAAGAATTTTGAGAGACGTCAACACTCTGGTCCATGCAGAAAACACTAGCTTTGGAGCCAGTGGACCTGGGTTTGAATCTTTTCCCTGATGCTTACCTCCTATGCGTCCTCGGACAAGGCATTTCAGCTCCTTGGGCCTCCATTTCCTCACCACTAAGATGAGGGACTTAACTGGATGGCCTCTGAGATGCCTTTCAGCTCGAAGTGCATGGTGCCCACTAAACAACAACAAACATCTGTTGATTGGGAGAACTTCCATTTGCAAAAGAACCTAATGATTCTTAAGTCATTCCAACCATGAACTTGTCAGAATAGTCTTTAATCTTTGTCTTACCTACTCAAGCTAGCAAGGATTCTCTTTCCTCCCAGGTCAGGTTGACTGGATTACACAATTCTAAGGTGGTGAGTCAGGCAGCCTTCATTTATTAACTTTTACTATGTGCCGGGTACTTTGATAAACATTAAGAATATAAACGCAAACAAAGAAAAAGACAGTCCCTGCTTTCAAGGAGCTTACTTTCTAATGGGGAAAGAGAGTACATAAGGGGGAAGCTAAAAATGAGGAGGGTTAGGAGAAGGGAGAAAAAGTCACAAGGTCATGGTGGTAAAGTCCAGAAGGCCAGAGGCACAGCTGGGAGGAGAATGAAACATGGCTGGCCCATGCCTATCCCCTAAATGGAAGCCCTGAAAGGAATGGTGAGTATTGATGGGAGAAAGGGGCTGCCATGGTGCAGGGTGAGACAGCTCCAAGTTCTGAGGGAAGTCCTAGGATGAGAAGCTCCTAAGTCAGTCAGTCAATAAGTTTCTATTAAGTGCCTTCTATGTGTCAGGCACTATTTGGGATACAAAAAGAGTCGAAAGACAGCCTCTGCCCTCAAGAAGAACACAATCCAATGGGGGAGGCAATAAGCAAACAAACATTTAAAAACAAGCTATGTGCATCATAAATAGAAAATAATTAACAAGAGGAAAGCACTAGAATTAAGAGGGGTTGGGAAAGCTTTCCCGTATAAGATGAGGTTTTATTTGAGATTTGAAGGAATCCAGGGAAGTCAGGAGGCCGAGATGAGGAAGGTGAGTATTGCAAGTGTGATGGACAGACAGAAAAATACCTGGCACCAAGAGGTGGAGTGTCTTGTTCATGGAATGGTAAGGAGGCCAGTGGCACTAAATTGAAGAGTAGGAGGCAGGGAGTAAGGTGTAAGAAGACTGGAAAGGTGTGGGAGGGGGGCAGGTTATGAAGGGCTTGTAAGTCAGAGGAGTTTGCTTTTGGTCCTGGAGGTGATAGAGAGTCAGAGGAGTTTATTGTTTATTGAGTAGGGTATAACGTGGTTGGACCTACACATTTGGAAAATCACTTTAGTGGTTAAATGGAGGATGATTTGGAGTGGGGAAAGACTTGAGGCAGGCAGACCCACCAGAGGTTATTTCAATAGTCAAAGGGTGAGGTAATAAAGACCTGTATCAGAATGGTAGTAGTATGAGAGGAGAGAGGGATATATTAGAAAGAGGTTGCAAAGGTGAAATCGACAAGCCTTTGCAACAGATTGGATTGGGGGTGGGGGGAGAGAATGAGCATTGAGGATGATGCCTATGTTGCCAGAGAGGATAGTAATAGAGCAGGTAGGAGGGGTAAAAGGTTTAGGAAGAAGATAATGAGTTTAGTTTGAGATATGTTGAGTTAAAGATGTCTACTGAACATCCAGCTCAGAATGTCTGGAAGACAGTTGGAGATGTGAGATTGGAAGTCAGCAGAGAGGTTCTAGCTGATGAGATCACTAAGTGAGGACCCAGGACACTTACACATAATTAGAGAGTGTGACTTGGATGAGGATCCAAAAAAGGAGACTAAGAAATGGTTTGATAGGTAGAATGAGAACCAGGAGAGAGTGGTGTCTCAAAAACCTAGAGGAAAGAAAATATCAAGAAGAAGAGGGGTGATCAAATGGTGTCAAAGGCTGCAGAGAGGTCAAGGAGAATGAGGATTAAGAAATACCCACTGGATATGGAAATTAAGAGATCATTGGTAACTTTGGAGAGAGCAGTCTCAGTGGAATGATGAAGTCAGAAGTCACAGTGTAAGAAGAGAAGAAAGAAAGTGGAGGTACCTATTACAGACAGCCTTCTCAAGAAGTTTAGCCGTGATGAGATATAGGGCAGTAGTTAGCAGAGATGGAAGGATCAAGTGATGATTTTTTTGAGGATGGGGGAGACATGGGAATGTTTGTAGGCAGTAGGGAAGGAGCTAGCAGGCAGGGAGAGAGTAAAGATAAGTGGAGAAGAAGGGATGGAATCGGATCACTTATGCAGGTAAAGGCATTCGCTTTGGTAAGGTGCAGCCACTCCTTCCTGTGGGACAGGGGTGAAGGAGGAGATAGTGGCAGAAGGCATCTGAGTAATATGGGATGAGGGGAAAGGAGAGGAGAAGAGGGAACACATGACAAATGGTCTCAATTTTTTCTGCAAAATATGAGGTAAGATTCTAAACATATTTCCTAAGCCATACACATCTGAAACACTATTAAAATATACTGAGCTTTTGTAAAACTGTTGATAGGAAATAAACCATTGGCTATGTTACATAGGCCATTAAGAAACTATCACATCTGTCCAAGCACAGTATTCACTTTCATCTTGTGTAATAACTATGCCTGCAGGCATATTGGAAGGTATACTTGTGGCCTCATTTCTGAGAATTTGCTCCATTTAATTATTTAAATATCTCCTCAAATAAATTTCAATCTTTGTTAATGTTCTCTGAAATAAGTGGAACTTATTGACATTTTTCTGGACTGGCAGGCAAGGGGTAGGTGGTGGTGTCTGATAATGTAGTGGGGAGAGAAAGAGGTAATCCAATATACTACAAATCCTTTGCTGTAGAATTATTTCATTCTGAAATTGTTTAGGGGTAAAGTATGCCTGAAGGCAGAGGGATGGATTGACTGACTTCTGGAGGTTCCTGCTAACCCTATGATTCTAAGATTATGATTTTATTTTTATTTATTAGCATTTATTACTAAGCCATTTTAGTTGATTAGCATAACGTAATTACTAAAAATGTGCAGCTGACATTTCTGGGAAATTTTTATATTACTAGGAAATGATATGATATCATTCCTGATTTTCAACAATCTAATTAAAACACACAAGGATATTACCTATATATTAGTGCATTCTCTTAAAGCAATTTCCAGTCTGAGAAAGAGCACATTCTGATGCTTAAAGTGGGAGAACTTGAGTTAGTAATATTTAAAGCTAACATTTGCTGGTTAGTACTTCACATACATTACCTCATCTGATCCTCATAATAACCCTGTGAGATAGGTGTGATAGACATCATCTCTATTTTACAAATGAGGCAACTGAGGCTGAAAAGGGTGAAGTGACTTGCCAGGGGTCACAAAGCTAATGAACGTCAGAGTCAAGACTGAAGAACAGGTCCCAGGGTGCTTACCATGTTGCTTTTGACACTGGAACTACAATAAAACTCATAAAACCTTTGTTGTTGCTGTCCTTGGTCTTATTTTCCAGGATTAGAGCATTCTGGCCATTAGCAATTCTCATACTATTCTTACAGGATAATGCCACATATTAATCTGCTTTCATCCTTTCCTTCCCATTACTCCCCTTGCTTCCACCTCCTGTATCTAACTCTTTACATCTAAGTTGGTTGATAACCCTGTGTATCTACGTTCATCTCTTGGAACCAAGGATCTGTGTTACCTCGTGCCATTCTGAGAGTAAGGCAAGAATATGTCACAGTGAAAAATCAACAGATTCCATCATCACAATAAGGCTAGAAGAACATCTGGGTTCAGAATTATGGGGTAAGCAATATAACTTTGGTGTTCTCTCTTCTCCTTTTATCTCATATCATTCAGATACCTTCTGCCACTATCTCCTCCTTCACTCCATCTCACAGGAAGAGGTGACCTTACTCCTCACTAAAGCAAACGTCCCCTCTCCTTGCATAAGTGATCCCAATTCCATCCCATCTCCTCCACTTCCTTTATCAGTGTTTTGCCTCCTTCCTATTTCTTCATTTGCCTCCCACAATAAGTCCTCCATTGCCTATCAAATGTTGCTATTAGAAATCTGTTAAGCTGACCTCAGCTAAGGGAACCCCACCCTCGCATTGGAATTGTTTCTGTTTCTGTCTCCAGAATTTTTCTTGAAAGCATCCTGACCCTTCTGGTATGACTTCTCCAGGAGAATTTTAGTGCACAAGATCTTACCCAGCCTTTCTTTTCCTTTGAGAAATGCTTTCCCAACATTTAGCCTGGATGTCAGATTGCACCTGACTTTCCTCTTCTTCTCTATCTCAGATTCTAATAATGCAGCGAGTATGACCAGGAGAACAGAGATGAATTCTTGTGCCCAATTTCCTAGGGGGGCTCACTGAAACAAGATGACTTATTCAACTACTATGGGAAGTTCTTAATGAGTAGAGACAAGTCACCAGAAAGGAAAATAAGGCTACTTTCATGTTTATGGATTTCTGTAAGTACATTGTTGGTTTTCAGGTTTCGTGGGGTGGGAGAGGGGACATTATTCAAGTGAGACAGCTGTACCCAGGTGGAGGTATCATAGTATGATTTGTACAGACTATAAAATTTTAGCTAGGGTAAGCGGGAGACTATAGAGTGTGAACAAAAGAGTCTAGTCAATTCCATGACATTCAAGTGGGGCTCCTAACCTTTTTTGTGTCATGGATCTCCTCGAAAGTCTGTTGAAGCCTATAGACTCCTTCTCAAAATAATGCTTTTAAATGCATAATACATAGGATTACAAAAGACACTACTTATATTGAAATACAGTCAGCAAAATAGTTTTAAAATGAGTTTATGGATCTCAGGTTAAGAAGCCCCTTTGTTAAAGGATGAAGCAATTGTTTGGGACTTTGTGCTTCCTTGACTAGACGAAAACATTGCCACTGAATGCAATGCTTGGTATTCAGGAATAACTTGATTGGGTCAGGCTCTTGAGAAGCTTGAACCTATAAAAAAGGACAGACAAAACTCTCAGAGGGTTCAAAGAGAGATTCAGAGACAGCTGAAGACAGACTAGAGACCAGAGATAGATTGTAATGGGGGATCTGGGGATGGTGGGAAGAGGGTGAAGTCCAATTATTGGCACAGCCTGAGGGAACTACAAATCCCCAAGCCCTAGAAATGGCAGCTGTGAAGCAGCAGTGCCTGACCTTTTCAGTCTGGAAAATGGAAACTATTGGGAATGTTGGAGAGACAAAAGTTCCTGGACTTTGAGTTCCTGGATCTAGGCATGGAAGCGCAGCAACAGAGCAGAAGAGTTGGAAGCTGTATATCAAAAATGGTAGTGTTTCCAAGGAATTCCCAGACAATAACCATTCCACCCCCAATGAGGGGATAGTTTTGACTGGTACTCTCCATGAGTACTGAACCTAGCCTCCTAAAGAGGAAATGAGAATTTTGGACAGCAACAAGTTCTTGGACCCATGTTCCTAGGGAGAAGGGGCAGAGCCATGTTTGGACCATGAAAAAACAATGGATGAGGTCTTGACTTCCAATCAATTTCAAATGCTTTATTCCATTTGAAGAGAGCCTCAAATTTCAGGGTAATGTCATGAATCCAGAAGAATGTTAAGTCACTGGGAGAAAGATGGAAGAGCAAGGAAATAGAGTGAATGTTTATGGACTACTATGAGTCTCCTTTGGGGTGAAATACTGTGTCCAAAAGTCTTGTTAGTGGGATGCTTGCATGGGAGCTGAGGATCCTTTTATCCACACTTCTGGAGATTTAGACATGATATATATTCTGAGATTTCGAGGGAAGATTATGAGTAGGGGCACAAATAGAAGATAGTTATTTCATGAATAGTGTCCAAAGATTGAACCTGGCCCAGGTAAGCCCAGAATTTAGGGTTCAAGGCCATAGATTATAGAGAGATTCAATGATCACTTTCCCCTAAGCCTATTATCATTTCCTCCTAGCAGCTAGTTCTTCCTTTTTGGTGAGAAATAGATCCATAAAATAAGTTCTTTTTATTGCTTCCTCCACCTTTTGAAAAATAAAATTATCATTAACACAAGTCAAGAAATTATTAGTTGTTCTTCCTTACAGCTGAGATGGCTCCTACTAAAGTCTGGATAATTGAAGCTTCTGTGGCGGAAAATTTTCATCACTGTGTGGTCAGCCTGATGAGGAGGTTCTTTAAACTTAGCTAAGCTAGAATTCAAGCAACAGATATTCAATCCATTGCTAGGCCTACATTCAAAATCTTCCCAGTTTGGTAAACTAAGAAAGAACTTGCATCTAATTGTAAATACTGATCTTTCCCCTTCAGCGCTTGTGGACTATTGGTGTGGAGTCAGGAGTTAGCCTTAAACGGAGCTTACCGCCCACTTTGGGCTGCTTTCCCAAGGTCACTTCCACGCCACTATGAGACATCAGAGGAAGACTTTAGTGGAGGTCATTATGCTTAATGGGTGAAAAGACTGGATGCATTCATCATTATAACCACGTTATCGTCTTAAGGCTCCTGAGGTCTGGAGAAATGATGCTAGAACACATGGTGGCTGTCCCTGAACACTGAAGTTTACATTTGAGCCTGAAATCTGAATCAGCTTAAATTTGAATTAAACTGCGATGCTCTTCATTGGCAAAAGAAAACAAAATCAAGTCCGAATAACAAATGATCATTGTCAATTATTTAAACAACTCTTATTCATTGCATTTATTTCAAGAATGAGCCTGGTAAGAGAGTGGAGGGCTTAAGTGTTTACTTCATTCTTTTCATTTTGGATGCTCCACTTTCTGAAGATCCGGGTACATTAAAATGCAAAATCCATCTCAATACAGAACTTTACTTGGAATTTCTTGATCTTAATCGGAACTGCACGCATAAATTAAGGAAACTTAGAGCCCTATAGTACCAACAACAGGGGCAAGCTCAACCATTAATGGAGTAGGTGGCTGCATACCAGGTGTGATTTCAGTGACCCTGGAAGCCACCACTGGAAGCTTCCTCACTGATGCTTAATATCCCACCATTTATTTCTTTGCATCTCATTGTTGTTTCCAGGAATCCTCTTTTAAAATGTAAATTCACCTGAGAAGGATAATACATAAAGACTTGGACAGTGTAGCATAATGGAAAAGATGCTGGCTTTGGAATCAGAAGAAATGGGTTCAAATCCCAGCTCTGCCACTTAATACTGAGAAGCATTTGTGTTGACCTATGTTTCAATCATGTTCAACTTTTCGTGACCCCATTTGGGATTTTCTTGGCAAAGTTACTGGAATGGTTTGTTGTTTCTTTCTTCAGCTCATTTTACAGATGAGGAATTAAGCAAACAAGGTTCAGTGACTTGCCCAGGGTGGCACAGCTAGTAGTGTCTGAGGCCAAATTGATCTCAAGAAGAGGAATCTTCCTGACACCAGGCCTGGCACTCTATCCACTTTGCCACCTAACTGCTCTTGAGCAGCATTAAGCAATTAATTAAACCTCTCCTGGATTTAGTTTCCTCATCTGTACATGGAGAAGGTTGGATTAGATGACCCCTAACATACCTTTCACTTCTAAATCTATGATTCAATGAATTTAACTGGGAGAAAATTTCTATAAGTTTTTCTATGTGTTTGAAGTAGATGAAAGGATGACATTCCACCCCAAATATACTCATGTACAATTTTAAGAGGTTGTTCTGAACTATGCTATTCTAGGGCAAGTTGTCTAGATTTTTTTTTATTAAACAATCCTAGATAAGCCTTCACAGGTGTAACCTGTAACCCAGAACCCCAAGCCATGGATTTACATGGTCTAGGCTCAATCTTGGAAGGCTTTTCACAAAATCATGCTCTTTGGCTCATGTTCCCACCCATAGGTTCCCTCAGGAATCTCATGATAAAGCTTGTGTCTGTGGTTAGTATAAAAGACCTTAGTTCCCATGTAGGTGTCCAACTAACCACACTTTTTGGGATATAGTTTGTATCTTACCTCATTGGAAGAATGCCTCCCCCCAATCCCCAAAACAATAGAGTACTTACAGAAGTTCATAAATATAAACGTTATCCTTACTTTGCTTTCTGGTGACTTATTTATCTTATATTTTAAATTTTTATTGTAGACAAATATTTGCAAATTATTTTCATTATCTTAGAAGATTCTAACATGCCATTTAGGAGTAAGAAGTCTGCCTAGCATAGAGGGAAGAGCTTTAGATTTGAAAGGACCAGTGATATCCTCATTTCATAGAGATAAACTAAGACACTAAGGCAAAAGAAAGCCAGACATTCAGAGCAAATCCTGCCTTTAATCCATATCTCCTGAACTTGAATCCAATTCTTTTTTGACTAGATTTGCTTGCCAGTTAATCAAGGAGGAATTTAGATACTTGGAGATTTAACTTCTCCCCAGAAATATGAAGCTCTGTCCCATTGCATATATTCGGGCTCACACTACTGTCATTTGCCCTATCACTCAAACAAACCTTAGATTTCCATGTCTGTCTCTCTTCACGTTAATGTTATGCTTTAATATTCTCCCACCCAATACAATTTTTATGTACAGTTTATCATTTAAAGTGTATGTAGAATATACCATTTAAAACTAGGAGGAATCTTAGGGATCATCCAATTTAACCCCCTTATTGTACCCAGGAGAAAGCAGAGACTAGTAGAGGTTTTGTCTCAAATTGAGAGTCGTAACAGGCCTTCAGTATCATCTAGCCTAGTCTTCTCCTTTTACAGATGCAAAAACTGAAGTTTAGGGAAAGTTAAGTGGTTTGCCTAGGGTCACACAGGGCCCTTTCAGCAGAGCTGTGACCTAGCTCTTCTGACTTTAAATCCAATGTTCATTCCAGTGGGCCACACTGACTTTACCTTTTTTTTTTTTGCAATGCTCCCAAGCTTCCAAGTTCCAAACCCTTTCCCCTCTTGGCTCTGCTATTCCCTCTAATACAGAAACTCAACATCCTCTTGTTTCCTTTCTGTTAAAACTCTCCAAAAGGACCTAAAATTTATTCACACTCAAGTGAAAATGACTGAAAGCTCAGGGAACTTGCATTTTTGATGGCATCAAGGAAAGGCTATCCTAGTATAGCATTCAGTAAGCATACTAGATCATGTTGATAGAAAGAGGAAATTTTTAAAATGCATTCCTTTTGTAAATTGGGGACTGAAGTCATCCAAAATGTTAGTGAAGGTTCTAATGACATCCTAATCCAGGAAGCATCATGTATTTAGAGAAACCTCAGAAATCATAAAGTAAAACAGTAAAAGTTGCTCCTCCTCCAAAGGCCTGGACTTTTGCTCAAGTTCTCATGGATGTTAAGGTGAAAGGATTCAACAGCAGATGCAAAGGCTGACTTTGGAATCAGCGTGCTTGTCACTCTATCATACTGCTTCATGTTTGCTATGATGTTAACAGACCCTTATGCATTGGGTATATATATGAATATAGATTCATAGTTCTAAGTTATTGATGCAACTTTTAAAAAAGAACTCTAAGTACAAGAAGAGCTTCTGATATTATCACAGTTCTTCAGCAGAGGAATGGCAAAATGGCCATTAGAACTCTTGATTATTTTGCGCAGGGTCTGTTCCAAATATTCTTTTTCTATTTCCAAGCCTCCAGTTCTACCCCTGTCTCCTCATTCAGGATATGGCCTAACCTTTTACTTTGTGAATATTGAAACTGTGTAACATGAGTTCCCTAGGTTCCCCTTTTAAGCTCTTGCAAGACTTTCTAAGCCTTCATTCACCCTTTCCTTCTTCTGTCTAGTCTCAGAGGATGAGATGGCTTTCTCCTTGCTCCAAAGCTATCCTCTTCACCTATGATCTCATTTCCTCCCACACGTTCCATGACCTTGCTCCTCCAGTTAGCCCTTCTGCCTCATGTATCTTCAGTCATTCCCTCCCTTTAGGCCCCTTGTCTATGACCTAGAAGCTTGTTCAGCTCTTCCCTACCCTAAAAAACAAAAACAAAAACAAAAACAAAAATGAAAATTTTCCCTTGACCCTTCCACCCACTACACCTATGATCTTATCTCTCTCTCCCATTAGCTGCCAAACTTCTAGGGGGAGTACTGTATACTCTCTGCTTCTACTTCCTGTCTTCCTGCTTGTTCAAGGAAAGCCTTGAAGATAGAGATTGTGTTTTTTGCCTTTCTTTGTATCCTCAGCATTTAGCACAGTGCCTTGAATATAGTAAGTGCTTAATAAATGCTTGATGACAGATTGGCTGATTGGCTTCTGCCCCTCTGCCACTCTAATGAAACTGACCTCTACAAAGTCATGAATTGTGCCCTCGTCACTAAGTCCAATGGCTTTTTGTCAGTCTTGAGGCTCCTCGACCTCTCTACATGACACCCAAACTCCACATCTTAACACTGTGTTCTTCCTTGGCTTCTGTAACACCATACATTCATGATTCTATTTCCTCTCTAACTCTCCATCCTTTTTCCTTATCTTATCTACTCTCTATTGCTTTAATGATCACCTCTATGCAGATGACTTCCAAATCATTCTCTCTACCCCTGTTCCCCATTCAGAGCTTTACTGAGAGTTGCCTGGGTGACATCTCCTCCTGAATGGTCCTCAGATACCTCAAATTCAAAGTAAAAAAGTTACTATCAACTTGTGCCCTTCCCAATCTTCCTTCTCTTTCTCCCTTCTAACTTCTATATTTCTGTTGAACATAGGAGTATAGTAGGCAAGCTTGGTAACTCTCTAGCACACAACACAGAAACAGCTTGAGAAGGAACAGAGTAAGACAAGGAACTTTCAAAATATTATTTTTATAAGTACATCTGTGAAAGAGGATAGTTTGGGCCAGACCTACAACTTCATCTAAATAGGGAACTACAGTACTAATGTGGATAACCTCTCCTCAGTGTGGTTCTAAAATGAATGTCTATTAAACACTATCTATACCATGCTGCCTCTCTATATAGTTTTTAGTATCAAATAATAATAATAATAAAAAATGTTTGGCATGTTATGTTTTTTCTTTTCTAGTTCTTAAGTTTATTTTTATTTTATGGAATACAACAAGCATTTCCATAATACATTACAATAAAAAATACAATTGCACAATATATTTTTAATTGGGAGTGATGGTGGTGGTAAGTCAATTTACATGTCTTATAGTAATGACTTCCAGTTAATGGTAACACAGATCAGGGATACGGTTTTCAAAAGCAGGAGGGCATAATTTTAAAATCTTGACTGGGACATAAATGCTTAGTCTTATTAGTGGTTTCCTATATATCTGTGTCCTTAAAAGAAAATATTGGAGTATAATAAGGAAGAAATGCTTATTTGGGTACTAAGAAATCTCAAGTCTACTTCTAGCTCTGCCGCTAACTATATAAGGAATTTGGGGGTTTGATTTCAGTGATCTTTGTTTTTATCATCTAGAAATTGATGGTTAGCCTTATACCTCTAAATACCCTCTTGTAGGTTACCTAATTTCATATGCATAAGTAACATAGAAGGGAGGGCATTAGAGAAACTAAGTGTGGAATTCATCAATTAATATTTATCGAGCATCTATAATGTGCTCCAATATAAGAAGGAGACTTATAACATTTGCCTTTCAGGGATGGTGAAGTTTGGTTGTCTCTTGGGCACATATATTATCCAGTCCTCTGAGAGGTGGAAAGATCTTAAGAGACAGCTGATAGTGGCCAACCACAAAATGACTAGTTTCGGATAGCTGTCATTAGGACTTTTAATACAGCCATTAAATGTAAATCTCTTTTGGAGTCTACTTCTTAAAAACAGACTCAATCCCAAGTCCCCAAATACTACTGGGTTCTGTTATTTTTTACACTATTATTCCCCAAATAACTGCTCTTTGTTCTTAGAGCTGCTGATATGCTGGGAAGGATTTCTCAACACAGCACTTCCTTTACACAGGTCAAGTAC